ATGTTATTCTTTTTTATGGCTGAGTAGTATTCCATTGTGTATATGTACCACATGTTTTTTATCCAGTTGTCCATGGATAGACATTTAGGTTGATTCCATTGCTTGGCTATTGTAAATACAGCTGTGATAAACATGGAAGTGCAGGTATTCCTTCTACATGATGATTTGCATTCTTTGGGGTATATACCGAGGATTGCTGGTACCACATGTTTTTTATCCAGTTGTCCATGGATAGACATTTAGGTTGATTCCATTGCTTGGCTATTGTAAATACAGCTGTGATAAACATGGACGTGCAGGTATTCCTTCTACATGATGATTTGCATTCTTTGGGGTATATACCGAGGATTGCTGGATTGTGTGGTAGTTCTATCTATAGTTGTTTGAGGAACCTCCATACTGTTTGCTATAATGGCTGTACTAATTTACAGCCCCACCAACAGTGTAGAAGGATTCCCTTTTCTCTGCATCCCTGTCACAATTTGTTATTCTCTTTTTGATAACAGCCAGTGTAACTGGGATGAGATGATATCTCAAAATGGTTTTGATTTGCATTTGCCTGATGATTAGTGATGTTGAGCATTTTTTCATGTGGCTGTTGGCCATTTGTATGTCTTCCTTTGAGAAATGTCTATTTAGCGCCTTTGCTGATTTATTGATTGTTTTTTTTTATACTGTTGAGTTTTTTGAGTTTCTTGTGTATTCTGGATATTAATCCCTTGTCAGATTTATAGTTTGCAAATATTTTCTCCCCTTTTCTGGGTTGTCTTCTCAGTCTATTGATTGATTATTTTGCTGTGCAGAAGCTTTTTAGTTTGATGTAATCCCATTTGTTTGTTTTTTCTTTTGTTGCCTGTGCTTTTAGGGTATTATTCATAAAGTCTTTGCCCAGTCCTACTTCCTCAAGTGTTTCCCCTACATTTTCTTCCAGGAGTTTTATAGTTTCAGATCGTATATTTTAAGTCTTTAATCCATTTTGAGTTGGTCTGATATATGATGAGAGGTATAGGTCCAGTCTCATTCTTCTACATATGGATATCTGATTTTCCTAGTACCATCTATTGAAGTGACTATCCCTTCCCCAATGTATGTTCTTGGTACCTTTGTCAAAGATCAGTTGACCGTAAGTACATGGATTGATTTCTGGGTTCTCTATTCCATTCCGTTGGTCTACATGTCTGTCTTTATGCTAGTACCAGGCTTTTTTGGTTAATATAGCTTTATAGTATAATTTGAAGTCAAAAGGGTAATGCCTCCAGCCTTATTTTTTGCTCAGGAATGACACCACATTTTTAAAACAACTTACTATGCTACAATTTACAAACAAGAAAAATTCACACATTTTAATTGTACAGTTTGATTAGTTTTTATCAATGTGTACACTAATTTGGAAATACACAGTATTTCCATTACTACGAAAAGTTTCCTCTTTGGTCCCCTGTGTGGTCAGTCCCCAACTCAAATTCCCAGACCAAGACAGCCATTGATATGTTCTCTGTCACTATGTATTAGTATTACCTCGTTTAGAATTTTATATGAGTGTAATTATTCAGAATGTGCTGTAGCTTCTTTGTCTATGTATCTTTAGTTCTTTTTTATTGCTGAGTTGTATTTTTATGTATGGATATACCCCAGTTTACTTATGCATTCACCTGTTGCTAGACTTTTGGATTGTTTTCAGTAAGAGGCCATTATGAATAAAGTTGCTGCGAACATTCATGTAAAAGTCTGTGCAGACACATGTTTTCATTTCTCTTGGGTAAATACCTAGATGTGGAATTACTGGGTCTTATGGTAAGTGTGCATTTAACTTTAAAAGAAGCTGGTAAACTTTTTCAAAATGACTGTACTATTTAACATTTGTGAGTTCAGTTGCCCCACATCCTTGTCAACACTTATAAAAAGGTCAGTCATTTTCATTTAAGCCATTCTATTGGGTGTGTAGTAGTATCTGTGTTTTTAATGTGCATTTGTCTGATGACTAATCATGTTGAACATCTTTTCATCTGTTACTAGCTGTTTGTATATCTTTTTTTTTCCATCTGTTATTGGCCATTTGTATATCTTTTTTTGTGAGAATTCTGTTAAAATATTTTGCTTGATTTTAAATAGTGTGGTTTGTTGTCTTATTGAGTTGTAAGAATTCTTTTTATATGTGGATACAAGTTCTTTGTCAAATATATGTGTTGCTAGTATTTTTATCTCAATTCTAGGGCTGTTCATTTGTTTTCTTTTTCTTTTCATGTCTTTTGAAGAGTAGAAATGTCTTATGAGTTTCTATAAAGCCAAACTTACAGTTTGTGCTTTTGTGTCATAATTATGGAATCTTATTCTACCCCAACATCACAAAAATTTTCTTATGTTTCTTCTAAAACTTTTATAGTTTTCCATTCTACCATTAGGTCTGTAGTCTATTTCATTTTAATTTAAAAAGTTAGTTGTTCATCTTTTTCCAAATGTATATTCATTTGTTCTGTCATCATTTCTTGAAAAGACTATCCTGTTCCCATTTAATTACCTTGGCTCCCTTGTCAAAAATTATTATGTGGGGCCAGCCCCGTAGCTCACTTGGGAGAGTGCAGCACTGGAAGCGCCGAGGCTGCAGGTTCGGATCCTATATAGGGATGGCCGGTGCGCTCACTGGCTGAGTGTGGTGCAGACCACACTGTGCCAAGGGTTGCAATCCCCTTACTGGTCAAAAAGGAAAAAAAAAGTATGTGTATAGGTCTGTATCTGAGCTCTCTGTTTTGTTCCACTGATGTGTATATCTGTCCTTATGCTGGTAAGACACTGTCTTTATAAGATGTGTAAGTCTTCCTACTTTGTTCTTTTTCAAAACTATTTTGGCTATCCTAGATCCTTTATGTTTCCATATAAATTTTTTAATCAGCTTGTTAATTTCTACCCCCATAAGAAGCCTGCTAGGATTTTGATTGGAATTTTGTTGGGTCTATAAATTAGTTTGGGGAATATAGATATCTTAACAGTATTGAGTCTTTCATACACAAGCAAAATGTATGTCCCCATTTATCTGGATCATCTTTAGAGTTGTTTTATAGTTTTATGTGAATAAATCATGGACAGATGTTGTTACATATATGTCAAGTATTGTAGGCTTCCACTGACCGGCAGTGTGACCTTGGGCAAGTTACTTACCCTTTCTGAACCTCATCTCTAAAGTAAGGAAAATGCACTTACCTCATAGAAATATTTTGTGATCATTAAGTGAGATAAATCAGGTAAAAAGCTCTTAGGATAGGACCTAGCACAATGTAAGTATTGAATAAGTATTCACATAAACTATTATTATCTGATGATTAACCTGAACTCTTTAAAGTCTGTGGAACTAACCTGTAATCTTTGTCATGTTTTGCTATTGGTGAGCATGGCATATGAGATAGTTCTGTTTTCTTAATAATATAGAGGAGTAGATCAGATATAAAAGCCAAAGCCACACATATACTTTAATTTATATACCTACACATAAAATCATTTTTATGCTTTGCTGAATGGAATGCACCTTGGACTATGTTGTTTCTTTCTTTATTCTTAATTTCTTAATTTTGTGTTAAACTATATGTGTCACCTTGCTTTTGTGGAGATGTATAGAATGAATGTATCAGTAATGGAATCATTATATTCTGAAAATAAATATAACCAGTAGATGGTTTTGTTATGTTTCACTTGTCTTATTTCACTACCATATTGAAAAGCATGCAGATTCATTATCCCTGAATGTGCAGGATTTGCAGTTTTTTAAAAAATAAGATATTGATTCAGTACTTGGATAGTTTTACATAGATTCCTCAATCATCATTTTATATGGAGTGTCATTGGGTCCATCCAGGTTGTGAAGCTATTCCTGATACTAGTTGGTGTGATTTTACTATTATTAATGTGAGGGATGGTGATCAATTACAATTTAGTAATCTCTTCTGCTTTGTTATTTTTAAATCATTCTTTGCAAAACAGGAAAAAAAAAAAAAGAAATATTTATTATCAGAAAAACACATAGATAATTCCAGTTTGGAATAAAATAAAATTTGAAAGTGATCAATTACAATTTAGTAATCTCTTCTGCTTTGTTATTTTTAAATCATTCTTTGCAAAACAGGAAAAAAAAAATGAAATATTTATTATCAGAAAAACACATAGATAATTCCAGTTTGGAATAAAATAAAATTTGAAGCATACAGAAAAATTTTTTAGGAAATCAGCGTTTGCCTTTAGACAGATATGTAATTCTTTTGTGTTCACTGTTTTACCTGTATATGTTCTGTTTCCCATTTACAGTGTCAGCACATTGAAGGCCAACAGCCTTGTCATATGCCTCTATAAAGTATAAATGTTTTTTTAAGTTTTCCCAACTGTAATTTTTAGTTCCTCAAAATGCTATTCCCTGAAGGCTCTCTCAACATGTTTTCTCTCCTTTAAATGCCATTACATGTACACTCCTTAAGCCTGGTTAACCATGACGTTAGCCCTGGACTTGGATAATTTATCAATTTCTGTGAAGCCTTGGCTTTTACTGCCTTCCATCTATCCCCAGTCCTCACCCCCAGCACACTTTAGACATGTGCCCATTGTGTAATTGTTGACATAGCTATTTCTTTTCATCCTCGATCATGAACTCTGAGGGCAGGGACCATGTCCTGTTTTTTCTCTGTATGCCCAGAACCCACCATAGGGTCTCATATTCAGGAGTTCATTAAAACTGTTCCCCTGACCCTGCATGACCACTGTAGTTTTGCTTACTCTTTCACAAAGATTTGACACCTGTGGTGTGTAGTTAGTTCTTGCTTCATTTAAATATCAGTGAAAAATAAAACTGCTCTAACAAAATTGAGTCTATTAATTTTTAAAAAATAAAAAAGTTTTAAAAAGTAGTGAAACATATCACTGCAAGAAGAGTGCTAGGTCTACATGATTTACTTTTCTGGTAGACTGTATTCTTAATTATCCATGAATTCTTTAACACATTTTTTGCTTTTCTTTTGTAGGTGAAGCCTTGAAAGGAAAGATCACAGTTCACAAGAATAAGAAAGATCCACGTTCTCTCATTGTCACCCTCACATTGAATAATTCAACTCAAACTTATGGTCTCCAGTGAAAAAGCTATAAAAACACAACTAACTGGAAGTTTTTAAAATGGTGGTGGGCCAGCAGGAAGGAGTAGATTTCATGTGAGCATAGGGTTGATGGATCCTTCACTACTGAATCTCCTCAAAAAGAGAGAATCATTGGCTTAGGAAGGGAACCAACTGATCTCAGTGGTTCATCTACATAGTCATATTCTTAGAAGTCTGCTCAGCCAGATTTAACCACATATAACCCTGACATTGAATTTAGCTATATTGAAAATTACTTAAATTGGCCTGGATTTGGAACAGAGATAAACTTTTGTTGTTTTTAATAAGTTTCTTACTGTAAATTTTAAACAGTGGTGATTGATTAGTTATTGAGATAATGTTTATTAAACTAGTAGCATTAGGTGGTACACATTTTATTGTAGATTCTCACTCTGAGGAGTAGTTTTTAATTCTGTTATTTGCTAGAATATCAGAATATAATCAATTAAAGAGGAAGTGTAGGGGACTAAAATATGGAAAAGAGCTTCAGCCTTCTTAGACAAATCATATTTGAAGACAAATTAACTGATTGTCCTATCTAGCATACCAGTAGTTGTCATTTTGTAGTTTCTTCCCTCTTTGTGAATATTCTTTATCCATATAGATTTCTAGTATTGCCCAGGAAATCTAATTTCAATACATTTATTCTAGGTTTCCTAAAAGTTTTTAAAGATTGAGATAAATATGTACTTACTTACTAATATATTACCTTTTCCAAACTAAATTTATGTGCAAAGGTTGAACATCTAACTGTGAAGATACTTATGTCACTATAAAATTGTGTTTTTACAATTATTGATTCAATTTGAAAGGCAGAATGAAAAACGTTCAATAAAATGTATAAAACCATTATTTGCATTATAAAATGATATTTCAACATATTAAGGCCTTTTGTAAAATCAGAAACATTTAAAACAGTCTTCACAAAGGAATTGTTTTTAAGAAAGTAGGATATTAAGGAAAGGTGGGCCAGTGCCTCTTTTAAGTTCAACAGCTGGTTCTTTGTCAAAACAAGACAAACACCAGGCAGCTAAGCATAGTGTTGAGAAGCACAGCTCTGAAGTCAGCACCTGTGTTCAAATCCAACTCTTACTTGCTGTGTGATCTTAGTCACTTTCCTTAACCTGTCTCTTTCTCCATGAATGGGCCAATTTATGGGTTAATACATTTCAAGTATTTATATCAGTGCCTGGCACATTGAAAACTCAGTAAATGTAAGGGGATAGTATCATCATCATATATCCAAGGACCCCTTCCAAGTAATGTATAACATCTACATTAGATCAGTTTGAGAACTATCAGCCTCGTCAGATGGTATTTATTTCCCTAGTACATGAATGTTAAAATGGAAGTTAATATTTAAAATGGCAAAATCTGTATCAAAAAGAAATTGTCTTTTAGTGTTTATTAGAAAACTGAACTTCTGGCAATGGGAAAAATAACCTCTTCAAAGGGTGGTATTGAGATCATAGTCTTCACACTTCCTTCATAAGTATGATTTCTGTTTTTACTGGGATAAAACCAGCCAGCTTGTTTTTTTACCACAGATTTGAATTCAGACCATTACTGGAAATGTGTGGTGCTAATAATACAGTTGAAATTACTTTAAATTTTGTCTTGAATGGCTTCCTGTACAAATTTGAGTAGGTTTGGGTGATAAATAAGGAGTCCCATAGATTTAATGGATTTTTTAAAGTCACCACACCAAAAACCAAATTTTTTGTTTTGTTTTTCTTTTTTGCAAGTGAATAACAATATTTCCTAATAAAAAAAAAGTATTTATCAAAACATTTTTCTCTCAAACTCTTACTTGGTTTCTTGGTTCACCCAGTGACTCTTGATTTTTTTCTGGTAAAAACTAGCCCAGCCATAGTTAGCAGATCTCTGTTCTTTTTAGTTAGCCTTCCCAGGCTGGGACATTCTAATTTGTGTACCCAAGCATTTTATGAGAACATGAACATCCAAATGTTAGTTCTTCAATTGGAATTTCTGCCATTAAACTGCTGTGAAAAATAAGTACTTCATAGCTCTTGACAATGATAAATACAATGTCCTTTCATGCTGTGGCAGATGTGCATTTATAGATATCAATTCACTTTGCCTCAGGGATTTTAGTTCCATTAAAAAATACATTTTCCTCCTATTTTCCTTTGTGAAAACTAACATTATGATGTAATGTGTGGGGTTCATCTGAGTATGATAGTCATCTGTATATTATAGAGCAGTGTTCTAAAGAGAATTTTTGGAAGGAATGTTCCAAGAAAGCAGAACTCTTGAAGCAGTGTACACATTGCACAGAGTGGTCCATTAAGTAGCCACAAATGCTATGGGACTCACTTTAAATAAATCAAGCAGCTGCAGTTTAACTTTGAAATAATCCCTGTTGGGGGTAGGGAAGGATGAGAATTCTGGTCTTACGGAGTGGTTTGCTTTCTGGACACTTAATGTAGATTAACCAGTGTGGTCCACCTGTGCCCTTCAGCCTCTTACCTGTCTCACTTATTACAATGGGATATTTAAAATGTGTGAAGTTATCAATTTGATATCAGCCCATGTGATTCTCACCAATCGTGTCAAGAGGAGGAAGTATGTAACAGGACTGCTTAAGAGCATTCAGCAGGAGAAATTAAAACATGATGATATATGCCGCTTAGTTTCTGCTGGCCATGCCAGAAATTATAGTTAAACTGCTGGGCTATACATATACCCAAAATGTCCAGATATTCAGATTCTTCTGTGTAGCAGAATAACAAAAACATGCCAAGTTTACAGCACGGTCACAGTTTCAGCCACACTTTAAATTGCAAAAACTGAAAATAGTAGTTTACAAATTTATCCATACTCGCTATCTCACTCCTTCAAGAGAGACTCATTTATGATGAAAGCCGAGTTGGTGAGATACCTGAGGTCTAGCATCGTTTAATTCAGGGTTGGCAGACTACAGCCCTGGAGCCAAAAGGAACTGGTCTGTATGGGGGATCCGGTCTGTATGGGGGATCCGGTCTGTATGGGGGATCCGGTCTGTATGGGGGATCCAAACCCTCGGGCGGGAGCGCCGCCACGCTTCCCAAGCGGCACACTTACCCAGTGCGCCACCGGGCCGGCCCCTATAGAAAGTCTTTCAACTCCTGGCCTATTGCATCACTTGTTGTACCTGGCCCTCTCAGGCTTGTAAGCATAGCAAGTAAATCAGTAATGATCTTTAGAGTATATGTTTTCTCTTAAAGCTGGGGTGAGGTAATGATAGGGAGGTAAATTCTGAGTGAAACAAATTTAGATAAGATTAATTACTCAGAAGACCTACTCAGAAAAAGTAATACATCTATTTCTGGTTTGCAGCCAAGAAAGAACAGCTACTATGTGGAGCTGAGGTAGCTCATACCACAGATAGAATATTTCCTTATATGACTCATTAATGGTCATGGCAAAAAAGGACACATACAATGAAACCCATAGATTACAAGGATTATGGTTTTATTTTTAAAAAGTGGAGCTAAGTAACTGGAGGTACTCCATTTATGAAGACAGAGGATTGACCAAAACTTAACCTAAATTTTTTAAAAAGATACAGTATTTACATACATGAAACTAATGTCTTGAATTGTAACATCTAGTGCCCTGTGTAAAGGGAATTAGTAAACTGAAACTTTGTAGCTGATCATTGACTTCATTTAGAAAGTTTTAGTATGTTGAAGAAAAAACTTTAAACATTAAATTTAACAGAGTTTGAGCAAAAAATGGTTCACAAATCGGGTCAGAGGAAATCCGCTTGGCTAAGACTTTTAGACAAAAAAAGCAAAGTGATGAATGGGTTCAATCCCTGTACTGGCCAAAAAAAGAAAGAAAAAAGAAAGTGGCATACAGAAAACGGAAGTGAGGTACAGAAACAGCTGGATTGATTACAGCTGGGCTTTTGCCTTATTTGAACATGACTTGAAGAGTTGGCTGTGCCTGCTTGTTACAAGAGTAGGTTACACTCTCCTTACACATCAAGTTAGGTTATAGTTCACTATGAAGAAAACTTTACGCCAGACAATTTAACAATTCCCTCCTTTTTGGTCAACCTCTCAATTTTGAGAGGTTGACCAAAATTTTAGGCACTGATGTGCTCTGTCACTATTGTAAATGGATTCATTTGGTCTTAAATTTCACTGGGAAATAGCAAAACAGTGGGTTTTATAAGGTGGGATCAGGAAACAGAACAATAGGAAAAAACCTTTAATACCAGGTTACTTTTTCATAAGGATTAGAGAAGAGGGGACTTTCTTATTATGCTGGAATCTCCTGTTTTCAGGAGAAAAAAAAAAAAGTCAATTTTGAGATCTGTCTGCTTCCTTAAAGTTTCAGTTTGAACATATGGCACTTAACATGAGTGACTCCATTTTGGTTTGGTCTGATCTGTTGGGGACCAATGCAGGGGTTCAGTCTAAAACAATGGATTCTGATAATTTTATTTAACAAGTAGGGCCAGGAGAAATGTGCAAACAAAACTTTTCAGAGTTAGAGATGGTTGAACTCTGCTTGTGAACTACAAAATAACTCAGCTAATGAATGACTTGTGAGCCTTGCAGAAAGGATTTTAACCTCATTAACCTCTGGGTCTTTTAGAGGGCTCTGGACCCCAAACTACCAACATTAAGAGAGGTAGTCAGGGAACTTATTTTATATCAGCAGTTTTTAACATGTCCTCGTGTTCCTTCCCTGCTCATACGTCACCCCAGAACATGGCACTCCTGTGGTACTGATGTGCTAGGGACTAAGCAAGATATGTAAAGTCCCTGCCTGGTTATCAACAGAGGCCTTGTTGGCTTGGAAACTCATCTGTTTTTTAGGTCTGTTCATGATTTTGAGTGTTTCCTTACTATAAAGTTAGGGTAAACTTTTCCAAGCAGAATGATAATAAGCAAAGCACTTTAAAAGTATCTTAGTAATTCATTTGACTTTTCCAGTAAAGTTTTCATGTGTTAACATCTTGGCTAATGTACAGCAGTTCACATTCATTTAGTTCTAGAGTGTAGCCAAATATACACAAAAATGTCACTGAGTTAGTTGTAATTATTTAAAAATGATAATCAACAATAGTCTAGCAATTAGTAAGGGGGGCAGTTACATAAATTATAGCGTATTCACTTCATGAAATATGCATTCAGTAAAAATCAGTATTGAGCTCTCATGGCAACATGGAAAAACTCATGATAAAAACGTTAGATAAAAAAGCAAGATAATTTGAGGTTACACTAATTACAAGAAAAAGCCTACATATGCCAAAATATTGGAAGAGAAAAAAATAGAGTGATTAGATTATAAGTTATTTTTCTGTGCTCTCTGTAGTGTTACATAACTTTGATAACTTTATATAATATATTCTTAAAAATAAATAAAATGAAGTAGCTCAAACAGTTTTTGCAAAATGTTGGTACTAGAAATGAACCCAGGGCTGGCCGGTTGGCTCAGGTGGTTAGAGTGTGGCCTTCTAACACCAAAGTCAAGGGTTTGGATCCCTGAACCAGCCAGCCACCAAAAAAAAAAAAGTAGAAGTGAAACCACTGGTCCACTTCATCCGCTTAGATGGAATGCGGAAGCCTGAGAACTCTGCACACAGTACTCTTCTCTTATCCACAGGGGTTACTTTTCAAGACCTCCCCAGAGGATGCCTGAAACCCAGATAGTACTAAACCCTCCATATACCATGTTTTTTTCCTACACATACATACCTATGATAAAGTTTAATTTATAAATTAGGCACAGTAAGATTTCAACAATAACAGAACAATTATAACAACATACTGTAATAAAAGTTATGTGTGTTGTCTCTCGTACTGTACTCTCATTGCAGTGTACCACGAGTAACTAAAATGGGGGATAAGGATGGACTCCTGTACTTCTGGGAGGACCCTACCCTCCAGCCTTAAAACCA